TTTTTTTTTTTTTTTTTCTTTTTTATGGAGGAAAAGAAAGAAGAACGAAAAAAATGAGGGGAAAACTAATGAGCAGCGGCGGGGCACTGACTTCCATTTCGTTTTGATTCCATCTCCGGGCGAGTCATATCAATCTTCTCTGAGAATCATGGGTAGTGACTTCAAGGCGGCAAATTTTCTGCCCAGGGTAACCTCGAACTCCAGTGCTTATTGCTTTGCTCACGGCTCCTGCGAGCAGCGGCCAATAAGCACTGGAGCTCGAGGTTACCCTATGGCTGCCTAATTAGAAATCATTTCTTCACTCTCTCGGAATCGGATTTCGCTTTTGCCGTGTTTTCGAAACTTACATTTCGTGTGCAACGCATGTTTCTATGAGATAATGCACAGTTCGGGGGGGGGGGGCAAAATTTTTTGGGCACCGAGCGGTAAAATCCTAGTAAAATCCTAAATCCGGCTCTGCAGCACCACTAGAAATGAAAGGGGGGGGGATGCAGACTTTCAGTCCATACCGCAAGTTTACATCTATTAGGTACTTGCGGCTACTTAATTCTTGGCTGTTTCATACACCTCCCTAGTAGCAATGGCTCTTTAAAAAGTTCTACAAAAAGTTGTCCCAAAAAATGTAAAAAACTTGTAAATTTTAAGAGTTTGTAAATTTTAAGTAAAATAACTCTTAAATACTCGTTTTAGGAAACTCTTTTGGGGAGTTCTTTAAAGTAAAAAAATAATGTTATTTTTATTTAAAGAAAGCGTAAAATTTACGTAAAAATCAATAAACTAAGTATATCCTCAATTTTTATGGGCTGCAACTGTTCCTTTTATACTTTTCTGTTCACCACTTATTTTCCTCGTTTTTGCCCGCAGGAAGTTAAAAAAAAAAACCGTAAAATTTATTTAAAATTTACGTAAAAAATCTTACTATAGTAAAAAAAAATAAGGCCTTTTTTGTGTGTACGTCCGTGTCATTTCGAATTCTCATTGGTCTTTCATTAACCAATCAGAAAACGTCATTGAAAATCCCCGGGAAATTTAAACGTATTCTTCCGTAAAGGAATTATTGATAGGTAGACAGGTATAAAAATGGGATGTATTTCTTCTAATAACCAGGATAAAAGGGAGGATTATTACCTATACAGGATAGTCATAGAAAAACGGGATGTACCTATATTAATAAACTGGGATAACAGGAAGGATATCGATCATTGTGTATCGATATTCGATACATCGTTTGTTCTAAAGCAGTATTGACTGGGATAAAACGGGATTTCTTCATAATAACCGGGATAAAAGGGAGGAATTTTACCTATACAGGATAGTCATGGATGAACGGGATGTTCCTATATTAATAAACCGGGATAACAGGAAGGATATCGATCTTTGTGTATCGATATTCGATACATCGTTTGTTCTAAAGCTGTATTGACTGGGATAAAACGGGATTTCTTCATAATAACCGTGATAAAAGGGAGGAATTTTACCTATACAGGATAGTCATGGATGAACGGGATGTACCTATATTAATAAACCGGGATAACAGGAAGGATATCGATCTTTGTGTATCGATCTTCGATACATCGTTTGTTCTAAAGCAGTATTGACTGGGATAAAACGGGATTTCTTCATAATAACCGGGATAAAAGGGAGGAATTTTACCTATACAGGATAGTCATGGATGAACGGGATGTACCTATATTAAGAAACCGGGAAAACAGGAAGGATATCGATCTTTGTGTATCGATCTTCGATACATCGTTTGTTCTAAAGCTGTATTGACTGGGATAAAACGGGATTTCTTCATAATAACCGGGATAAAAGGGAGTAATTTTACCTCCTATACAGGATAGTCATGGATGAACGGGATGTACCTATATTAATAAACCGGGATAACAGGAAGGATATCGATCATTGTGTATCGATATTCGATACATCGTTTGTTCTAAAGCAGTATTGACTGGGATAAAACGGGATTTCTTCATAATAACCGGGATAAAAGGGAGGAATTTTACATCCTATACGGGAGAGTCATGGATGAACGGGATGTACCTATATTAATAAACCGGGATAACAGGAAGGATATCGATCTTTGTGTATCGATCTTCGATACATCGTTTGTTCTAAAGCAGTATTGACTGGGAT